TAGTTCTCAGCTTTCTGTTGGTACATGTGTGCAGAAGAGGACTTTTTTTTCCCAGGAGAAGAATCCAGGCTACTTTTTTCTTCCTATATATGCACAGGAAAATTTACACCTCTGAATTCTGGGAGCCCAGTCTAGCATACATTCTCAGATATATTTGTAATGACCCTGAATATGAAACTATGTACATGTTTCTTTTTTCCTTTCTGTACCTTCACAAAAGCTATCTTCATAGTGCAATAAAAATCATGTATTGTTTCAAATATGTTAGCCTGTTGTAAACGTGGCAAAGAATTTCGTGGCAAAGAATTTAGCTTGGGTTCAAAAGCCTAGTACGTTAGCAGTTTGAGTTATATGCCACTTTGAAGGCACCACAGAATATCGCAAAGTATGAAAAATAAGTCAATATTCAGTTTAAGTAGGATTTAGTATAATCCAAAAGCCTTCTTTGGATAATTTCCTATCTTTTAAGGAGGTCAGCAATACCAGTGTAACATGGATTACTGGAGCTGGGAGTGTATGTCCATAGGTAAAGCTGTAGCATGCAGAGAAATGGAAAAATAAGAAAGCAGTGGAGGGAAGAAAGCAGGAGAAGAGATAGATGAGAGTATGTAACAGCAGCAAAGGACAAGTGAGTGATTTTTTTCCATTTTAATTTCTGTTCCTTTGTTTTGACTTTTATACTCTTGTTCACTAGTTGTCACAAAATTTATAGTGTTAGAAGCAAATAAAAAAAACAACAAACCAAACAACCAAACAGTAGACTTTTAGTATATTGTATGTAAGATTACTCTAGGGCTGCAGGAACTGTCCTGAGTTACTAATACTGAACTTGCACTGCATTGACTCTTTCTTTTGTTCTTTCCCCCCCTCACTCCCCTTTTCTTAACCTTTTCTGGTAAAACACACAAACTTGTAATTTTTAATTTCACTCAGGTAATTAATAACACAGCTGGCTTTTAAAACTTTCCTGGAAGCCATTTGATTGTGACTGGTTCCTAATGACCTATGTAGGAGGAAAAAATACAGGAGGAAAGTTAATCTGATATTTTTTCATAGTGGGTTTATGCTGTAGAGTTGGGGTGAAATATATGCATGTGTGTATATCTATATATGTGTATGTGTATACAGTGGCTAGTGCTTCTGAAGAACAGGGTCGACAGCAAAGTCAACTGAAATGGAGTTGAAAATCAGTAATTACTATGGGTAGAGCTATCACCTGTATTTAAGGTTGTGTGACCCTTTCCATTTTAAAGCTTCTCTTAATTACTTTGTAACTTTTGCCCAAGTTCAGTTCAGACAGATTTTTCCATGCCAGATGTCTGCTTTGGGTTGAATTTTTTGGAAAGTTTCAGCCAAAGCAGTTCTGTTTCAAGAATAAGACTAGTGACAAGTATGCTATTTTGCTTGTGTGAGAATATTCTGGTGTCCTTCTTTGATGCTCCAGTGCCCCCAAGCTCTGAAGCAAGGATTTGAAATTTGGCAATAGTTCAGTCTTTGTGTTGAGGATGTGCCTTTTGCCTCCCTGTAAAAATCCACCCAAATTTCCAGACCGGTTTACAAGGCTTTGAAAGATTGCCATTTGCATGGGCTTCATAGGAATTTCTTAAAACTTCACAGTAAGCTTCCTTTAGATTCTGTTCACACTGGGAATGCTTCAGGCAGAGTAGAGCTGCGTATTTTATCCCACTTGTGGTAGGAATTGTAACGGCTGGATGTGGGTGCTGACATTGAACTAAGAGTGGGCAACATTTTGTCTTGTACCACCACTGCCTATTCCCATGTCTTATTCTTTCCCCCTGGTGAAGGACCTGGGCCCTCTGGAAAATAAACTTTCTCACTCATCTGAAAGAGCGTGACATGTGGAGGAGAGTAATTTAGGAGTATGTGTCTGGTTTGTACCATTCCTTTGGTTACAGAAAATGTGTAGCTTTACTGGCAAAATAGTACTTCCTTTTCTAGTGGATGTTCAGATAATAGTAATTAGGTTTTGTTGCGTTTAAACTTCAGTAGTTGAGTGGGTTTTAATAATTTGCTAAACTACATAGGCATCAATTGAAAAAAAAATACTCAAAAAAATATCACCGTACATTAATGTTACTTAGGGCAAAAATCAAGAGGTCCTTTTCAAACATGCAAGTTTAACTTAGACCGCTTGTGTTTAATACATTGCAGTATAGCCTCCACTTCACAAGTGTCACATGCTTTGTCCAAGAGGCAACTATTTGCTTGGAATGGGGAAAGGGGTCTGTTCTGAGGATATGTCCAGGATTTGTACAGTAAATGATTCGCATTCAGCTGTTCCGGAAGTTATTCAACATACTCCAAGTGAAGCAGAGATTCCAGGAATAAAAAAAGGGCTTTCTGGTTAAGAGAGTTGAATGCTTCTTGATGAATTGTGTGCAGTCTGTGCTTAGTCACTGTGTGTTTTTACGCGATGCATTGAAATAACTACTCCATACTGGGTGTTCTAGTGTCTGGTTTGGGAACTTGTCAATTTGCAGAAATGCAGACACTTACAACTGCAAGTGAATTCTGGGAGCTAAACCTTAGTAAAATATTGCATGTTATTAAGGATAGTAAAAATCATGTTCAAAGTGTATCAAATTTGACATCTGGAACTAGGGAATGTTTTAATCTAATTAACCTAATGCCTCTGTCACCTGTTTTAAAGATGTAGAAATTATTCGTCCCATTTCTGTAGAAAGGCACGCGTAGAAATTTGCTGCCTTTTTAGCAGGGCTGAAAAATTGCATGCTGTAAATAAAGCATATGACCACCTCCCACTGATCAGGGATGAAGCAAAGCACTGATAAATACATAGTCAAAAGTTTATGTAAAAAGGTACAAGTATATTATTACTAGTAAAATAGCCTTTGCAACTTTTAAATTCCCAGTGCTTACCTTTATGACCCTAATAATTCCCTTAAAATAGAAGGTATTATTTTCTCTGTGAAGTTAATAAGCGTCAGACTTCCTTTTGTACAAATAGTCCAATTTTGCTGATTCTTTGGTAGCTCTCTTGGTTCCGGAGTTGGAGTCATTATTTCATTCCACAATTTTTCCAATGAAGCATACAAAACTGGGCTACACTGGATATGGCTGAAACCAGTGATGTCAACTCTTAAGAAAGCAGTGCTTTATTTTAGTGTATTAACTAGTCCATTTAGTACTGATCCAAGCATAAAAACTCAGTATCAGAGCACTGAAACTTGGAGTTTGTAAACTGTGAGAATAACATAGAAATACAAGTTTAATTAGCAATAATTTTTTAATTCTTTCCAAAATTACAGCCACCTTACTTTAGTAGTAGTTGAATAAAACATTACTGGAATCCTCATCCTTTCTGTTCACTGTGGTGATGGCAAACTGTTGTGGTTTAAGAGGGAGTGAGTGAGCGGCTGCATGGTTCTGGGTTGCCGACTGGGCTTAAACCACGACACAAACAAACATACTTGCTCAAAATGGTGACTACCACTTCACTGGGATAAATTTCCACTTTGTAAAGCTGCGTCAACAGTACGTCATTTCTGTCACTTTGTAAACCCAACTGTTACCTGAAGTTTCCTATGCAAAAAAAGATTTTGTAGGTTTTTTGAAAGAGACAGAGTTACAACAAATAAGTGATTGTGTGTTTGTGGAAGCGTCTAGCTCCCGGAATGAAAAGATTTGCTGCTAACATGTAGTGAATTTAATGCTTTGGAAATGGAGAGCTGGTAGCAGTGGAGAGTTTTAGGTTTTTTTGTTTCTCTCTCTTAAGGTGAAGGTGTGAGAGGAGGGTTGTTTTTTTTTTTTCTCTTGAAAGTAGTCATCAAACTTTTTTTACTTTTTTCTTGGGCCATCCCCTCAGGGTGCTTGCTGCCTCTGAAGCAGCAGATCTCAGATGGGTCTTTGGAAAGCTCCAGCAAACGCAAAGCATTTGACAGAACGTCGTGCAGTATTTTCTGGAGAAAGATGGGAATTTTGAGCTGCTCAGCAGCACAGATCTTAGAGGAACTAGGCTGCTAAGAACAGCAGTCTTATTTGCTTAGCAGTGTGAAATCCACTTGCCCGTGGACAACTGTGTTGGTGTTTTTGGTTTTTCTTTGTTGGTCCCCCCCCACTCCAAGACTTCCGCCTACTTGTGTGCTCTTCCATATGTGTTTTAAGCTGTGCTTTGAAGTTGGGCAACTAGCTTTAAACAAAAGTTGTTACCACACTTCTGCATAGCTTCTAGCTTTGATTTCAGCATGCTGATGTGTCAGTGATGTGGTTTAGAGTTAACAAAATGCAATTCTTTGCTTGCTTTGACATTGGTTTCTGTGGGATTAAAATTAAAACAAAAAAATAATCATATTACACTCTTTGTGTAAAAGCCAAGTCAAAACAGACCGTAGAATGTGATTAAATGGCTGTGTAGCAATTATTAGTTGGTCGGCATCTGTCTTGACAGATAGATGAGACAAAGCCCATGAGGTATCCTGTATTTTCTCCTCTGTCACCTTCCTTTTTCTCTCCCCCATGTCCCCTAATAATCCTAGGAATTTCTGCAAACCCAGACTTTGTGTGGATTCAGTTTCCAATGTAAGTCATTCTAGAATATTGTAGTTCAAAGTGCCTCGATAAAGTAATTTAAGATGCATATTTTCTGTCACCTTTGATCAGGGTTCTTCAGGGTACCGAAGTACCAAATGGAACCAGATCCAAATAGTACTGCTTTGACTTTCTTGAATTTATATACTTGTCCGTATTTTTTAGATTGATTTTTATTTTAAGGTTAGGGCACAAAATGAAGAGTAGATTCAGAAAGGTAAAAGCAAACACAACTGTATTCAGCTGAATTATTTGTATCCAATTACATCATCAGTAAATTAGCTATGAGTAATTTGTAGTATTTCGAATTCATTTGAAAAAGTAACTAAAATCTGATTTGTAAGACTTTTAAATTGGGTTAATATGTGTTCATATATTAAGTACATTAAATGTTTCTGAATGTTTTCCTTTTCTGTCTTGTTTTTTGGCAGCAACTTGAATTAGTGGAACCAAGCGGCTGGATTCATGTTCCTTTAACAGATACTCATAAGAAGCCTATTCGCACGTTTATGATTCAGATTGCTGTTCTAGCTAATCACCAAAATGGAAGAGACACTCACATGAGACAAATCAAAGTGTACACCCCAGTGGAAGAGAGCTCTATTGGTAAATTTCCTCGATGTACAACAATTGATTTCATGATGTATCGCTCCATAAGATAAGATTTATTAATGAGAAATAATAAAGGCATTTTTTGGTGGGCAGCATCATTGCTTAAGTATTCAGGTACTTAAAGAGCAGGTTTTACTTCTGTGTTATTATATCTTTATGTTTATATTTTGTACAATTTTGAAATAAAGAAATCAGTGCTACAGTATATTGTAGTCTGTAATATTGCATTACTTTTGTTTGGAGTCTTTGAGTGCTCTTGTGTTACCTGTTTTAAAGACGTTACCAGTAGTGTTTTCCCATCGTTGCTTATGATAATGTGTTGTATAGGTTTTTTTTTCTGGTTAATGACTTGACTGTGTGTATTTAGCCTTCTTTGTAACTGTGAAGTAGATCATGGAATTATAGACTGTCTCAAATTGGAAGGGACCCCTAAGGATCATCACATCCAAGTCCCTGCTTCTTGCAGGACTATCTAAAACTAAACCATATGAATAAGAGCATTGTGCAGATGCTCCTTGAAGTCTGATGGGCTTGGTGCCATGACCACTTCCCTGTGGAGACTGTTCCAGTGACCAGTAATGCAATAAAGGTGACAATGACAGGAAGAAAACCAAACCATTCCGAAGTACTCAATATATTATATACATTAATATAGATATACTGAGTATAGGTCATCTAAATGTGGTAGCTGTTCAAAACAAAGGGAAAATTAGGAATGCTCCAATATCCTACAATAACATGGGAATGAATGTAAAGGTCCAATGCACCTTCTAAAGTGCTGAGAACGCAAATGTGTAATACAAGGTAATCTTAGACTCGTAGCATGGAGTTTCTTTAATGCATTTTAAAATAAAAAAAACCAAACCAAAAACCAACCAAATAACCCCCATAACCAAACCAACCAACCAAACAAAAAACCCAGACAAACATTGCAAGGAAAATGTATGCTTCATCTGCTATGAGCAGGAATATTTAACACCTCTACTAACGTCTCATAATCTAATTACTAGGGTTATTTTACCTTCTTAAAAAATAATGTTTTAGAAAGAGGCTGTTGATTTACAAGGGTTACTTTTAAAAGGTTCACTACTGATCCAACCCCATTCTTTCTCTAGCACCATAAAAGTTGATGGTAAATCAGGCTAAAGTCAACCAAGGAAAACTAACACTTTTGTTAACTGTTAGCAAGGAGAGGCTAGTAATAGTGGAGGCTCATCAAACAATGATACAGCATCCTCCAGAGCAGAAAGGAGCTGAAACAGAGGATAATGGGAAAGTTATCAAAGATTTAGTTGATTCAAAGAAACTTTGAAGTATTCTGTTACTCCTGATAGCGTAGTTTAACAAGCTGAAATCTAGCTTGACTACTTATACTACTATTCTGAAATCACAGATGGGGGTTTTAAGAGCCTGTGTTAAATTGTATGATGTTAAGCTTTACTGTTAATAAGGGAAACTGTATTTTCAAATTGAATTTAATACAATCTTTTAGTAGATGTTAAGGTGCACAGAGCTCTTCAAAGGTTAAGGCTGTAGTTAGATGTTATACTTCTATCAATAGCAGATCCAGTCTGAAGCTGCACATTCCAATATTTTGTTTCTACTTTATTGCCAGAAATGACCATCTCCATGTTTGGCCTTCTTCAGATGCTTCCATGGCTGTTCATCTGTGAAACAGTTTGATCCTTGGCCTTTTAAAATCAGTATATTCTTAGTACTGGCTGGAAGCAAGTAATCTGTGGTGGAACTGTGGGAACGAACGGTGAGTTATGATGATGATGAGATTAGGAGCAGATTAAAAGGGAGAGTACAGCTAGTAAGTCATTCAGCTGATGCTGACAGTGATGTATGACCATACCTTAAAGGCAGCATCAGAATGCGAACTCATTACTGCAGTTTGTGTCTTGCTCTTTGATACTTAGTGCTACTTGAAAACAAGTGCAGTGGCCATTCTAAATCTATGTTAAATCTTTCCTATGTTGTTTCATAGCACTTGTAGATACATTGCATTGAGGTTTAACATCTGTGCAAGTACATTTGTGTTTTAACATTTTTGGTGCTTAGAGAAGGCTGCTGATTTTTAAGTGATGAGATCATAGAGGATTATCAGAAAATAAATCAGGCTACTGCCTTTGTGTATTAATGTAGTACTTGGTATTTGAATTGGGATAAACAAACAGGTCTGCCAGACTATTGCAGGAAGTTACTACACATGCATTGTGTTTAGCTACTACTTTTTTTTTCTTGCTCATATTTTTCAGACACAGAATTGTGAACTTATACCTTGAAAGAGCAATTTTATGTGACTAAGCACCAAAATTATTGAGCATACAATTTTTCCAGAAACAAAGTTCAAGAAGAGAAATTTCTTGTAATATTAATTTAGTTAAAGCTTATATATTGCTTAGCCACATGCTTCTTTGGAAGGTGTCAGCAAGTGCTGTAAATTACAGTTAACTGCTAATGTGTACTAGAGATCAAAAATTACAAACCTAAAGAAAAGCCAGAATGAGTAGCCTTTGCAGTGAAAATTCACAAAATAAACATTCTTACTGATGTGTAAATAGTGCTAATGGAATACTAGAACCGTTTTCATACTGATCATGAATTTTCAGGGGTTTAGTGAAAATGGGAATAACATTTTAGCTCTATATACTTGTCTCCCATATTCACTTCCTGCCCAGTCTGGAAAAAAAAATTTCTTCTGCAACCTTTAAATAATATCTTGCATTCATAACTATCATGTTTTATTTTTCCCCACATGCACACTTTGACTGCTCTTTGGAAGGAGACAAGCCCTAGCAATCTCTAGTCTTTAGTATGTCCAAGTTGTCAGCTTCTCAGTAGAAATGAATGCAGAGCTGTATCTCTGAAAAATCATAAAGTTGGCAATTGACCTAGTTGCCCTACAGGGTGGTTTTACAAATGTTAACTTCAGGGGATGTGAAGAAGAGACAGGTTGTCAACTTGTTGCCAGCTTAAAGCATACTTTTTCTTCATGGTGAGCAAATAAGACTGCTTCTTCAAAGTAATGAGAAAAAAATAATGAGATATTCGCAAATGTGGCTTGCTAAGAATTATAACTGTGTCTAAACCTAAGAGCAGTTGTGTGTGTATTTTGGCTTGCTTCTCCAAATATGAAACAGTAAGGTGTACTGGTTGCAAGGACAACTGGTCTTAAATAATTCTGATCATGGAAAAGAGAGCTTTTATAAAACTTCTAAAGTTTTAAAGGTATATGCTCTGAAAAGACTTCTTTGCTTGTCAATTGGAAACGTACAATCTTAGAATTGTATTTAGCAAGCTGACTACTAACTAAAGATATTCAAAGTTTAGAATTGAATTAAAATCAGTGACGTGTCTAGTCTAAAGGTTTTTAGAGAGGGTAAGAAGGTGTATATTTGTATTCCATAATGGCCAATACTTTGAGCTAATAAAGCTTAAAACACTTCATGAGTAACTGTTTTTGCTAAAATGATAATCTGAGCAGTATACTATAGGTATGTCCCTATGTGAAAGATGTTTCAGAGAGTTTGGTTGTTTTCCCCTACCCTAAATCACAGGACTTTGCCAGCAGACCCATAAGTAATTTCCTGGTTTGTTTTTACAAACCCTGTCTATAAAGAAGGATACCTTCTTTGCACTGGTGTGCTTCCCCAGCTGGAGACTAAGATCAGAGTGGACAATTCTGTGTTATTGCTGTAGCAGTATCAAATATCAAGTAGCAGCTATCTGACAAACTGAACCAAGTGGGTTCAGAGTTTTTTGTTTCTCAAGCAATATAAAACTCTTAAGAGCTGTATGCTGAGAACAGTGCTGTCAGGGAGAGAAGTAGTCAGGAGGCCACCTTTAAACTGTGATGGCCTAGTGGGGCCATACCTTAAAATACTGATAATTTGTAGTTCCTTGTGACTAATGTGGAAAATGAAGGGAACTACAGCGATATAAAAACAACTAAGGCATGAACTTCCTCTTGTTCAACAATGAAATATAGAAAAATTCCAAGTTAATTCTCAGAATATTCTCTCTAAAGTCTGTTTTCCTTTTTTTGGAAAGACGTTCTGGTAAGTGAATGGGCACTTAATTTACTTGTATCCTGTTAAAGGTGGTGGACTAATGCTCATTAATTTCGTCAGAGTATGGGGTTAGGTCTTTTATCATACTGAATTATGGATACTTTTAGGCTTTCAAATTTGTATGTAGTCTGGCTAGCAGTGTTATCTCATTATGACTTCACCTCAACCTTTTAAATTTTGCAATTTTTTTTGATTTTTACATTTTCTTCCCTTGCTACTGTTAAAGAAAAAGGGAACTGGAAGTTGCAACATGGCTGAAAAGTTGGCAATTTTCTAACTTCAGGCAAGGCATAAAAGTACGTCCTGAACTTTTATGCTTAATTGCAGTATCAAAAGCAGAATTATAGGTTAGATGAGAAATGAAAGGTAGGAATCATCTTGTTTTAACTTGTGTGATGTGGATTCCTGCTGTAGCTAGAGCATTGTTCCTCACTGTTGAAGCAGGCAGGAGTTAATAATCCTAAGTGAACTCATTGGAAAAGTAGAGTACCATAAAAAGAGATAAATAACGGACTAGTAATATACTGAGTGAATCGCTATGATTAGCTGTATTATATAGCAAATAGGACTCCTTGATTACTGCTCTGTATTTTTTGTATCATTTGTTATCTAAGGTGTCATTGCCAAATAGTCTTTTTCTCCTGTATAATAGGCATCTGATAAATATTGAGTTGTATAAGATTAAGGGTAAGATTTAAACAAATGGGGTAAAATGGAAAATTTATTTGTTCTAAGAAGTAATGACTTTGCAGTGATTCGATTAATCACTTCAAATAGTAGTAATTTAGGGGGCTTAAAAATTCTTTTGGAAGATACCAAGCTAGGGCTTTCTGTGTTATGGAACAGAAATTTGATTCATAGTGTAGGTGAAAAAGCCTTTCTTAAATTTAACCCGGGGTTAAATTTTTCTATAGACAC